TATATATGTATATATATCTATATATCTATATATGTATATGTATATGTATATATATGTATGTATATATATGTATATATATATACATTATATATATATATACATATATATATATACATATATATATATATACATATATATATATATACATATATATATATATACATATATATACATATTCATATATATATATATATATATACATATATGTATGTATATACATATACATATATGTATGTATATATTTATATATGTATGTATGTATATATATGTATGTGTATACATATATATGAGAATTTGGAGATAGAAATATGATAATTTTGAACTTTGAAAGGATAGATATGTGTGGTCACTGTATGTGACCTCAAGCTTTATGGTCTCTATTTGCTGCCAAGGAAATTACATGAATTTACTGCATGGATACTATAATTGAATGAACACAGCACTTATTAGAGTTAAGCTGTGGATCATTTCATGCACAGATGATATCAATTTCACATCTTTGAAGTTGGCTTGGATCATACCTTCATTCAAGTTGAAAAAAAGGAAAAAACTAGTTTTTGTTTGCCCGGAGTCCATCCAAAGGCTTACTTGTCCACACTTGTTGGTTCAAAGTTTGACAAATCTTTAATGATTGAAGGGCTCTTTGATGCACATTAAGTATTGAATATTTATTTTTCAATACTAATTTTCTATCCACACTTTGTTTGATTTTGAGTAAACCAATTTTACATGTTCCTTTATATAGAACTTAAGATTATTGCAAATCACCTTCACCTTAAATATTATTTTCAAAATTGCAGGTATTTAATGACATTATTTTATGATCTAGTGATGCTATTAGACAATACTCATATGGAGTTTGCAAGTGGTATCGAAACTTCTTATTTAGGGTTTGACTTATTTGTCTTCATAAGCTAAAAATGCATCTTTCTCCTTGGGGTAACAAATCATCCATGCAGGCAGGAAGGGTTGTGCTTGTGAAATCATATGGTCTTGTTATTATCAACATTATAAGTTTTGTGTTATGTTGTACATACATTTTGTTCCAATATCTTGTTCTTGGATCCAGGATTCAATGTGGAGACCATGGAGTACAAAAACATTAGTTTCACCATTTGGGATGTTGGTGGCCAAAATAAGGTAAGTTGGACTATGCTTGACATTGCTTTGACTTGGGTGAAGTTTGAAGTGTAGTTCTGATTTCATGGAACACCCATGTTTATGGTGGTTTCTTAGATTCGAGAGCATGATACATTCTAGACTTGAAAATTACTGATTTCGAGCTTGACCGTCACTTTTTTAATACTGTCTTATTTGCCTACTAAGGGTTCATGAATGAACTGGAGCTTAATTTGTACTTATTTGTTTATTATCTTCTGGGTGTATTGTCAGACCTCTACAGAGTTACCACTTCCAAAATATTCAGGGTCTTATTTTTGCTGTCGACAGCAATGACAGAGACTGTATTATCGAGGCAAGGGATGAACTCCATAGGATGCTTAATGAGGTGAATTGATCTGGTCTTAAATATTATTATTGCTCTAATGTGGCGGAGGTGTGCTGTATGACAATCTAGTACCCTCTGATTGTTGGACGTAACTCATGCAAGTGTATCTTCAACATTGTCTTCAACGTTTATTTTAAATCAAATGTCCTCTATTTTGTTTGTCCTTTTGCTTGTAATCATAACTGGCCATTAAAAAATCCAGCTTAGGATGATTGTTGGATCCACGTGAAAGGTCCAGAGGAAGGGTGTGCATTGGAGTTGGTGGAACATCAGGATTAAGAAGAAACAGTAGTAATAACATGAGGGTTGGATATTAATTTGAGAACAGTGGTGACCCTCTGGAATTTTGATTTCATTTTTCATTTGTTAGGTTCCGATGTGACTTCCAAATTTAGAATGTTAGCCTTCAAAATGACTGCAGCAATGTTTTGGAGATTCTGCTGACTCTATGATCACACATATTATTCATATTGTATGATCACAGATTCACAGCAACAATCTTTTGACTGTATTGCGGCAATCTCTTGTTCATTTTCATCTTAACTGAGATGAATATCTCATTCAAGCTAAAACTCCAATAGTTAAGTAGGTCTGTAGTGGGATAGATATGCCAGAAACATGCCTGCATACCTGCAGATAGTTACCATCCAGACAAGACTGAACTGTTAAGTAGGTCTGTAGTGGAATGGCTGTGTCAAGTGGCGACTGTCAAAAAAACTTGCTTTGTTTAATTTTTGGTGCAGCTCTCAGATGTGGAATCTCTTATTCAATTTCATTGGAGATTATGATCCATAGTCTTTTAGTGGAAATTAAAATGTCAACTATTGATGATTGTTTATTTTATTTATTTATTTCCTGACTTGATTTTCTGTCATAATTTTAATAAGAGATTTTGTTCTGGTTCATCTGCAGGATGAGTTACCTGATGCTGTATTGCTTGTTTTTGCAAATAAGCAAGATAGTCCCAGCACAATGAATACAGCCGAAATTACTGATAAGCTTGGGTTTCATTCCCTGTCTCAGCGATGCCGGTATGACTCTTGATCTTTATAATGCTGTACGCTAGAAATGCTGGTTTTACTATCTATTTATAACACTAAGCTGTCTTCTAGAAAGCGGCTGCAGTATGCATGCATGAAGACAGCATGCAGTGCATAGGTGTGTCGAAAGCATGTGCTGCAACATATGCTATTCAATTGAAATTAAGAATATATGAAGAGATCTATAACCAAATCCAAATTATTGATATCTACAGGATGACGTGTATACTCATTTAAGAACTTGTTTACTTGATTAGTAAATGAGTAAAGGTCCAAGTGATGAATGTCATATAATCATGTACCACATAAACTGATACGAAGAAATTATTACACTGAGGAAAAAAAAATTTACACATTGTGATCACATTTTCATTCTTTTGTGGACTGCATATGTGCAGTAATTTTCACATATGTGATAACACTGCTTTCACATATAAGTAGACTGAAGCACTCCTGAGAACAGCTAGGGGTGATATCACCGCTTATGTGAATCCTGCACCGCAGGTCTGTGAGAGACTGCATCTCCCTTGAAGTATTTGAGGGGTAATTCTGTCCAAATATATAGCATTTTCTGTGCTGAATCATCTTCTATACCTGAGATATCATTACCTTTAGCAAACTATTCAGTCCAAGACAGTAAAAGTTACGTTTGATAAGTTTGTAGCGTTAAAAGTATTATTCATAACAATTAAATTTTGATATATTGAAGGCATTAGATGACTGGGAGGCATTTGTTTGAAGTTTCCAAATTTTAGGTGGGTATCTCTGTTACTTTGTACTTCAAGGTTTTCAGTGAAATTATCGGTGACCAGAGGGACAAATTTTAAAATTTCTGATTTTATTTCAGCAATAGACTGATTATGTCATCAATGGTTGCTAAAATAATATATAAGAGCCTTCTTGTTAGCTAAGGAAAGCTCGAAGTTTCAATTGGGACATTAATTGGCCCTTTATCTGCATCGTCTTGTGCTTTCTATTGTTTTTTTTATGTGCTCTTTATGTAGTTCCTTCCTTGCACGTTAGATAATATAATTATTCTGCACCTCTCTTTTACAAGAAAAGATATCTTGGTCTTTTGTTTTTTAGCCTAATGACCAAGGACATATGTGATCTGTTTGTTAGTATATACAGAGCACATGCACTACATCTGTTGGGAGCCTTGTGCACTTAGCTGTCTTTTAGGTCTACTTAGGTGTCATGCAATCTAGGTGAATTGGATTTCAAGTGTGAAAATAACTTCTCTGCTCGTAAGGATAAGCCATATGCATTAACTCCTTGCAGACTCTGCATCAGAAGCTTTATGCATCGAAACACCCTTTTTAATCTTCCATATCAATTTTCAAGCATGGATATATGTTCGCATTGGTGTACTTAATTATGGTACTTCTTTAGTTGCTATTATTATTCCCCTGTGATAACCACAGTTTATTTTTGAAGGTGGGGAGCTAATTTACCAAGACAGATTATGGAACAGAAATTGAACTTTCCAACAAAGTTAACATTACTTAGAAGAAAATTTCGAACAATGGTTGGAATCTTATTCCTAGGTCAGCAATCCTCTAAATAGTCAGATTTCACCGAAATTGGGAAGTTGAACCATCTGGACCATGGTTCCCAAAGTGGGAAACCAATTTAAGAAATGATCTTCACAAACTTTGAAGAAAGTGCTGAATCAGATCCTAAGTTGGTTTTAATGAAATACTATTTCTGAGTGGCAAACAGGTTTCCCAGTAACTGTGATTTGAATAGGATTTGAAGTTCACATCATACAAATAAGTAATTATGATTTATAAGCTTACACTTGATGGTTGATTTCTAAGTCTATTTATAAGCTTACTAAATAATTTAATGGCAACTATGTTGTAGCTTATGCCCACAAGCCTACGAATGAGCAAATTCACGAGTCTCTGGATGAGTTTGTTCAAAAGTTTATGCACGATCTAATTGGTGACGAGTCAACTTGTGAACCTAAATGAGTCAGAGTTTTGTCATATTTAAATTTGACTGGTTGAAAAGGTCGAGTTTTAAAATTACATTGAATCATGGGTCATTAATTTTGATTAACAAGCTTAAGGGAGCCTTTAGTGAGCCAAACATCAAGCTGTTCATGAACTTTGACTATCTTGGAGCCCTCGTAATGGCTAATGGAATGCTTTATGCTTTAATGCTTCCAGATGACATTTTATGGGTACTATGAAACTTTAGATTCATGATAGGATTAGCTGAATTTTCTGTTGTTTCCCGAGGCTTTAAACTTTAGGTTGGTGGACTAAGCTTTATGTGTTATTGCTCTGTTAGACGATTATTATTAGCAGTGACATGGCGTATTTGCTTTGATTGCAATCCCCAAGCCGCAACTTGTTGCTCAAGAATTGGTGGTAACCAGGAGATGTAAGTTCAATAAACATTGTGATTTGGTGTAGTGTAATATGATTGCAATCAGAAGCATGATCATCAACTTCAGCCCTTTTTTTGTTGTTTTTAAGCATTATAGCTGCAGTGTGTTGCCATGATTCTCTCTAATTCATTTGCCCCTTTTCTAGTGGAGATCTCCTGGATCAGCCTGTGTCCCACCTGCATCTGCGAGAGAAGATTGTGAAGAGGTTGCGTTCGATCAGAGTTGGGACCAAAAACCAGCCACATGAATGAGTGAGTAATTGTTATTATTGTTATGATTATGATTATGATTATGATTATTATTTTACTTGCTCACCTTCCTCTTGTCCTTCATTGATCACTACATCTAATGCTTTCAATGCCTTTCTATTTCCTCACGGGAAATCTTCTCAATCTTGTATGGCAAATGGTATCCGAGGAATTAAATGATTCCCAATCTCAAATGGACCTCCTCCATTCCAAAGAGCTGTATCTTTCCTCAAATCTACTTGCCAATGGTGCTGGATTTACTGAGTAAATGTATTATACCTTACGATAAAAAAAAAATTCACCTATAGGTATTCAAATGAACAATACAGCGTATCTTTACGTTGGATTGGATTATGTCGCTGCTACAAATCTCTTTTAGAAAAAAAGTCTTCATTGTTTATTTCCAAAATCTGGATAAACTTTGGCACCTTTTCCTGGGAGGTTTTGTAAGGCAAGTGACATTATTGCCTCGGAAAATTCCACCCACACCTCTATTTCTCACTCTTCTGGTTGTTGTTGATGACAATCACACAACCACCATCTTGCAAATAAATCAAGACTTCCTTTGAGGTTTTATTCACATTTTATCTAAGTTTTTAAGTAAACTTATTTCCTATCATTATTGTTTTTCAAAATATGTGGTGTTCTATTTTAAATGGATGAGGTCATAAGTTGAGTGGGCAGATTAGCATGTCATAACGTTGTAGTCTGGTTATATTTACAAAGATCCGCCTTACCTTTGGTATCCACTGAGGCCATGTGGCAGAAATTTTCAGTTTCCTTTTCTGAAATTTGCACCACAAAATAGTTAATTTGAAGCATCAATAACTGAAATTTTTGTTTTATTTTTCTATTAAAGAAACTGTTTTTAATATAATAAAAAAGAAACTTATAGTATGATACTATCAAAATAAGCAGCATTTGATGTTTTCACAATAACAATGTAAACTGGACAACTTTTGATTTTTAATTTCTTAGATTTGTCCAACTTCCAATAATTCTTTGCTAAATCACCTATTGTTATGTGTGTGTGTGTACACACACACACCATTTGCATATTGTTTTTTGGAATTTAGTAAATTAAATATGATTTATAATATAATTTATATTTTAATTACTGACGGTATTGGCGGAAGCCTCGTGCAAGATTGAATATGATAATTAAGGGATAATGGATGTAGCTAATGGTAAACAATTTTATAGGCTTTTAATGACAATAAATATGACTCATATGATAGTCTATCTATCTATGTGAACTACTTGTGGAGTTTGTGCTCTTCCTCAACACTGGATGGATGTCTTTCCATGATTTTTTGTAGGCTTTAATAATAATGAACATGTTTTTACTATACTTACCCCCACAAAATAAAAAAAAAGGAAAACAAAAAAAAAAAGGAGACACTTACCATCTGATGAAGTCTCAAGCCAATTTGATAATTTATTATAGCAGGAACCTTCAAATAGGATATTTTTATATTGCAAATAGGAAATTTTTATATCTCAACACAAATTATGCAGGAATAACGTACTATATTGCAAAATATTCCAAAATTATATCAAATAATGACAAATAAATGCATATATCATCAGACATCCAAACATAAAAGGGTGTGATGGTAAATGCACACCACTTGTATTGGGATGCTTAGCATATCTGCATATCTCCGAGTGGATTTGCCTGCCGTTGGATTGGAGTGCACTATATATACACCCTTTCGCATGAGAGGGAGACAGATATTTTATGCTCTTCAAGCTGTTCCTTTGATTGCTGAAAGAACCCTCAGCTCTCACCTTCACTTTGAAAGCAGCAATAAGGTTTGTGCCTCCTCTCCACCTCTCACTAGCTTGCTTGCCATCTTTGACTGATTTCTTTCTTTCGCTGCCGTTTTCTTCTTCTTCTTCTCTCTCTCTCTCTCCTCTCCGAGACCTTGGTTTTGCTACGCTGTAAGAATCCAATCTTAACGTACAACACTAGTGTTTTCTTCAATAGTTCCGTTTGTTTTCGTCTTCTTCCTCATGTCGGATGATTGCATGGGCTACGTAAGAACCTGATCAGCCATTTTATTAGCTTTCAACCCATTTCTTTGCTGCTAAATGGTCGATTTTTTATATTAGATTTGACTTCCAAGGCATCCTTTGAAATTGTTACTGTTGTCTTATCCATTTAAATTTGATCTTTTTTCCCAGTTAATCTATCGGTATGAAATCTACCAACTAGCTTTTCTTTCACTGAATGCATAGGTGAATTTGCTCACTCAGTTTTCGTAGTAAACAAAAATCAAAATCTGCTGCTTTACGAAACAAATGCCTCTTTTGGACTTCCTAAGGTGGCTGTTCTTCACAGGCTGCCCATATTTCCCAATATGTTTTTACCTGACAGTGTCCCACTTTTTTATTTTCATATGCTTACTGGCGTTATGAGTGATCTTCAATTCGTCTTTGTATGTTTTCCTGTGCTTCATTTGGACATTTGCTGTCCTGGAAATCTCACCAAGCCATAAAAGTTTCTGAGGAACTAAAATTACAACCTTGAAGAAAGCAGTTCCTCTTTTGAGTTAAGTTGTCATCACTAGACATTGTATGATCATGTGCCATGGCTCTCTAACGTGTCTTTAATCCTCCTCATTAGGGTTTTTCTACTATACCTTGATCACAAGCCTATATTGTTTTTGAGGCATTGCAGGTGTAGTACATCCATCGTCAACCTGTCAGCCTTGATCTACTTCATCAGAGAATTCGTGAGCCATGGAGGTCACCGTGCGCTCTGGTGATACAACGCCAGCTCTGCCCTCCGAAGCTCGCAAGAACGTGGACTCGAACTCTGCCCTCCCGCCTGCTGACGAGGTCGGACCTTCCTCTAGGCCGGAAGACATGGCAGCGCAGTCGCCGGATGACGCTGAGAACGATGACGACCTGCAAGTGGAAGATATCGAGGCACAGATATGGCATCTGAAGGCACGGCTGAAACGCATCAGGGACGGGAAGCAGAGCAGGAAGCGGCAACACTCGACTGATCCCGCCACTCTGAGTGAGCTGGAGGAGCAGTCGCGGAAGAAGAAGATGTCGCGAGCCCAGGATGGGATTCTAAGGTACATGATCAAGCTCACGGAAGTCTGCAACGCCCAAGGCTTCGTCTACGGCATCATCCCCGAGAAGGGCAAGCCGGTGAGCGGCGCCTCCGACAGCCTGAGAGCCTGGTGGAAGGAGAAGGTGCGATTCGACCGGAACGGCCCGGCGGCGTTGCAGAGGTACCGGATGGAGCACCCGGTCCTTGTGCCCGACGCCGACTGCACTCCTCAGATCTCCATCTCCAAGATACTGCTCGAGCTGCAGGACACAACGCTGGGCTCCCTGCTGTCTGCTCTGATCCAGCACTGTGATCCTCCGCAGCGACGGTTCCCGCTCGAGCGGGGGGTTCCGCCGCCGTGGTGGCCGACCACAAAGGAGGACTGGTGGCCCGAGATGGGGTTCCCGGAGGACCAAGGTCCGCCGCCGTACCGGAAACCGCACGACCTCCGGAAAGCGTGGAAGACGAGCGTACTCATCGCTGTCATCAAGCACATGGCGCCCAACCTCGAGAAGATAAGGAGGCTCGTCCGGCATTCCAAGTGCCTCCAAGAGAAGATGACGGCAAAGGAAAGCATGCTCTGGAACTCGGTGCTCGATCAAGAGAGCCGGCTGCTGCATGGCCAATCGCTCCCCGACGCGACTGGGCATTCCCACTTCTACACTGCGTCCGTGAGCAGCAGCCCCAGCGACTACGACGTGAAAGAAGTCGAGAACGTCCCAAATGCCGGTCTCCTGGACCAGATCGCGGCGCAGTCGGGCACTGGGAAGGAGGAGGCCGGAGCTCGACTTTCTCCATATCACGATCAGATGATGGCGGATTACTCTCAAAAGAGGGTGGCAGCCGATGAGCCCGACCAAAGGATCTATACATGCGATCACCCTCGATGCCCGCACCACGATTACACCCACGGCTTCCTCGACCCGGGCTCGAGAGCTCTTCACCAGATCCACTGTGCGTATCGCAACGCCATGAGTCAGCCACAGTCTCAGTTTCTGGGGTTCCAAGTGAATGATAACAGAAGAAGCGCCGTTCTCTCTGCGCCCCGTCTCGACAAGCCAATCATGAATGGTGGCGGACCTGCTCTTGTTTCACCTGACGTTGCTGGAATCGGAGTCGCAGCTGGTGGTCACAAGTCCATAGGTGAACTCTGCAACTTCTACGACGCCAATCTCCCGATGCATGCAGCAGCAGCAGCTCAGGCTGATATGAACCGGCTGCAGCTTCAGATCCAGATGCAAGCCAATGCTCTGCAGCCAGCTTCCGCTCCAAACCGGATTCAGCAGTCTCCTCTGCATCCTGCTCATCAGAGAAGCGGTTCGATGGCTCCTCAAGCTGCCGCGTCCATGGATCAGAATGCTCTGCACCCGACGATGTTCATGGAGGGAAACTACGTCGCACAGAGTACTCCAAGATTTGTCGGCGATTGCTTCGGAGACGTCAGCAACAGCATGCACCAGAGCCAAGATTTACAGGCACAAAGCTTTCCTTTCGATCCAACTTCGGGGAACCAAAACGCTGATGTGCACACCAGATTCACATTCACTTCTCTTCTCAACAGTTCGAGCGGGGAAGTCAACGACGCAATGGGTGGACGGCTGGGCGACTCGCTGCCGAAGAAAGAGGACTACGGCTGGAGATTCTAAAAGCAGACTCACGGCACCGCCGCCTGGTCGGGAACGGCGTTCTTTGCATCGTTTAGTCAAACACCGCAATTTGTTTCTCCTCTGCTTCATTGTTCTAGTGATTTGGTAATTTATTAGATTTGCATATTTACCACTGCTCGTAATTCCTCCTATCAATTCTAAACTAAATCAAAATGATCAATTCCATTTCCTACCTTTTGGAAATTGGAATCGTCGATTTGGTAGTCCATAAGCTACTGATCGATCATTGGACTTAAACGGTCGACCGAGAGTCAAATGATCCTAATAGCCATCCATATAAACGGTTCTATTCGATGGTACTTTGGTCATTTTATAATTAAAAAAATAAAAAGTTTTGAAAACAAAAAAAAAAATTGTCTTTTTCAACAACTACATAACAGCTAGTTTTATTGGGCATTTTAAGAAAAAAAATTATAAATCGTATAAATACCCCTCAAATCTCTCATTCTTTCTCAATGCTCTTAACCTCTGTTCTTGTTTCCATGGCAAATGGAGGCTACCACTTCACCACCAAAGAGGTTTTCGAAAATTCGATCATAATAACTTAAGAAAATCAACACATCAATATCATAAAGTTGGATAACACTTCAAGAAGCTTATACCTATTTTCATATCATATGTAATTACTATAATCAAAAATTTTAAATTCAAAGAAGTAAGAGAATATGAAACATTTTTAAAAGCAAACTGAGAAGAACATTCAACGCATGAAAGTCAATCATAAATTTATGGGTACCCTGCCTCTTCCATTTTTTATTTTTTATTAAAATTCATGAAGCATTAGCTAAATTAATTATCGTTGAATATTTATTTTTTAGTTTGATTTAAAAGCCTGATTTATTGATTATTGTCAAGAGGTTTTAAATTTTGTAATGAGTCTCTTATGTTACATGACCTTATTTAATTAGGTAAAATATATTATAAATTTTATTTGATTCTGATTACGTTTATCAGTCAATAGAAAATAAATCTAATTATGATAGGATTATCTAAGAGATGACTTTGATAAGAAGGATTCTCCTAATTACTTATTTTAAACCCTTTGCTCTCACCTTCCTTTGATAGATTACAGATACATAATACATGATAGGACCTCCTAGAAACTCAACGCGGATACATAATACATGATATTATTGAGGGATTACAGATCTTATCTTATCTCTCTGTCTATAATCTATTGCTCATAGCGATCTTGTGAAAGAAAGGAAGAGAGGAAAAAACAAGTATAGCTTCTTTCTTTCTTGTCCAGATTCACGGTGCATATAGATCACAATGTGTTGCTTTACGATATTCGAGGTACCCTTTTGATTATCATGTTCAAAAGGCATGCACATTTTATTTCAATTTTATGATATTTGATTTTAATTTTGACATTAAATTTTTGCATAATAGTTTTATTTCTTACGATTGATATTAAAGCTATGTCATTGAAATCTAAGTTATTGTAGATCATTAAAGAAACTAGATCTATTTATGTATTAGATCTATTTTTGTTCTATTTGTGTATTAGATCTATTTTGTATAAAATCTATTATTATTATTATCATTTTTTTATGAAAAGATGTTTATGTTTTGATCGTGTTATGTTTGTCTCACATGATCTGTTTGTTTTCGTAAATGAAAATATAGTTGTAACACGAGATGCTACTGCTAGGCATGGCCAATGATGTTGCTAAGTGATAGCTCACGATGAAAGTGGCTATATCACTTATGGCACGGTAAAGGACAGTGGTGCTATGTGCTGAATTGAGAAATAGATTGTGAAAGATAAGTATTTATATAGGTTTTGAGGGAGAAAATTTTCTTAATCAATCACTTAAATCGTGCAATTAGATTAGCTCTTCAAATCTATGAATGATCCTCAAATCATAGATTGATTGAGGATATCATGATATTCTATTATGCCCCTACAAGATTGAGCTTATGTCAAGGATATCAATCTTGAACTGATATAACTGAAATGTCTTATCGGCGAGAGGCTTTGTGAGGGAGTTTGCTAGTTGATCAGAAATATATATATGAGAAACACATAGTTAAAATCTAACAACTTGATCTCTGATGAAGTGAAAGTCGATGACAATGTGTTTTATGTGTGAGTGAAATATTGGATTAGCGCATAGGTTGGTGGTACCAACATTATCACAGTATACTGTATAATGGATTTGAAGGTAATGTCAAGTCCTTGTATTAGATTGATGACCCAATTGAGTTCTATAGAGGTAGTGGCGATGGCTTGGTATTTAGCTTCAGTAGTGGATCTTGCGATTGTTTTATATTTCTTGGAACTCCAATTGATTGAATTTATTCTAAAGAAGACAATATAGGTTGACGTCAATGTCCTATCATCAATGGTGTTTGCCCAATCAGCATCGATGAAAGCATGAAGAAAAAATGATAAGCGTTGACGAAGAAGAAGTCCATGATTGAGAATCATTTTTTGATACTTCAAGACTCATTTTATTACATACCAATGTATAGTGAATGATTGATGCATAAATTATAATAATTTGTTGACTGCAAATAAGATGTCTGGATGTATAAGAGAGAAGTACTTATCGATACTATGTAGGATCCGTAATAAGGTTGTCATTATCTAATTTGAGTGATTCGATAGTAGAGAGCGGAGTGACAAATTCTTTAACATTTTGCATATTCGTTTTTGATAGTAAATCTTGAATGTCCTTTTTTTGATATATGAAAAGTTCAAAAGATATGAATGTTGTTTTTATTTATAAAAGGTAGTTTAAAATGTTAGGAAATCTTAGAGAGCATCACATGCATAGTGAAAAAATAAAATAAAAATCAGTTTCCCAAAAGAATCATATATGATCTCCGCGAGAGCAAAACTTGTAAAATCAAAAACTGCATAACATGTGTTAGACGTTCTTACCTAGACAAGATTGTATATCCTCAATCTGCATATCTTACTTTGTGGATGAAGGAGCTCTCGTAAACTCCTCTCTAATGATAATCTACATGGCAAATGAAGCGACGACGCACTTTATCTCATGATGCATTCCTCGCCTTCATGCACCATCATGCAATAGCAAACACAAGAAGGGGTCAACCCTTCTTGCTATTCTCATGCCCTAGATAAGACTAATGGTAGGAGAGGAAAGGAAGGGAGAATAATAGGAGGTGAGCAACCAAAGGAGTATTGCCTATAACCCTTTGGTCCCTCTCCTATTTACAGAGAAGCCCCTCTCAACTTAACCCTAATGGGTCCTGACTTATTGGACATTAGATCTTCATCCAATTATCTTGGCATATTGGACAATGAATTTTTATCCAATTATCTCTAGCTTAATAGAAATTGGATCTCTATCCAAATATCAACTCTAAGCTCTTATTGGATTTCACCCAATGGATCCAATAAAACAATGGCTTATTAGATATCACATATCTAATCTTATCTTCATCGTGTCATCCACCATATGTGTATGACCCTCTAAGCCCAATACCTGTTGAATCTCGGATTTTGATAATGAAGTCAATTGTAATTTGTTTGATCTAATCTATATGTTGAGAAAAGTGTACAGGATTAACTACGATAGCAGTAAGACATAAAACATGTGTTGTGCCAGAGTCAAGATCGAGATCTCATTAGGAGTTCGAGAGTTCATTGAAAGTCCGGACGTTCGTCGGAAGTTCTACCGGAACCAATCGAGAAGACCAGGAGCTTGCCAAAGAAGCTCGTTGGAACTCTCCAAGAAGATCGTCGTAAAGTCCAGGAGCTTACCAGGAGTCTGCTGGAACATTGCCGAGAGTTTGTCGGATGTTCGCCGGAAGTACACCGGAAGCTCGCCGGAAGAGCAATTGACGTACCGGAACAAGAAGTGCTATAATTATGTCTTACTTATTGTAGTTAGAGTGTAAATTAAGTTAGGATTGAGAGGTATTCCCACTAAATTAATTAGAGGCCAACTGGGCCCTTAACAAGACTGAATTGGGTCAAATTGAGTAGCCAATTCAGCCCCTGAAAATATAGCCAACGGTGGCACTGCTTGGAAAGTAGTGCCCCAGGATTTCTGGGTGGTGGTACCACTGACAGTTAATGCTGCCAGCGGTGGTACCGCCCTTGTCAAGCGGCGGTACCATCAGAGCTCGGTCTCCGAGCTCTATCAAGCGGTGGTATTGCCCAAACTGGGTGGTGGTATCGCCCAATAATGATGGTGGTACTGCTAGTACCCCGTAAATCCAGGATGAGATACTTTTTTGCTCCATTTTTGAAAGTCATTGGGGCCTATAAAAACTCGTCTTTTATGTGTGAAAGGGCACGAAAGCTATTGGCATAATCTTGAGTTTTTGAGTCTTAAAGTGTTGTAAAAGTGAAGAGTTCTCCTTTTTCATCTCTTGATCTTGTAACCATCCAAGAAAGATGAGTGAGACTTATAAGGGTTGTCTCCTAAACCCGGCAAAAGTAGAAAGAGCTATAAAAGGTGGTTGGCCTTCGCCTATTGAAGGAAGGCCTTTAGTGGACGTCGGAGACCTCGTCGGAGGAGGAATCTGAAAGTGGATGTAAGTCACATTGACCGAACCACTCTAAATTCTGGTTTGCTTTTCATCTGTGTAATTTATATTACTGCAAATCTCCTTAATTCTCTCTTGTACTTTTACGAAAGCTTTCAAGTTCATATTATATCCGAAACAGATTGAATCGAAACTATTTTAGTCAGAATCAGTTTTAATCGAAATGAATATTTTTCTGAAATCGAAAAAGTTTTCCGCTGCACTAATTCACCCCCCCCCCCCCCCTCTTAGTGCCGCTCTTGATCCTAACAATACCGAGCTAACATAAGTTTCATCTATTAGAAGTTTTTCTGATTCAATAAATTATTATCTTTGTAATAATTCACTCAACTCATCGATTATGAACATACTAGGCCACTGTTATAGTACCTAGACGATACAAAGAGATTTAATCCATTGGACATGTCTACCATCAGTTATCGTGTATCTATCGTCTCTTATCCATCTAACATCCTAGAGACCATATACCGGGCATAACGTTGTTAGGCCTATATGAAATATATCTGAGTTTCACCTTAATCGGATTCTCCCGGAAAACTCATCTCAATCTAAATCTCATGCTTATCAAATTCATCATGGTCCAATCGACCTTGACCA